CAGAACCTTAGCTTTCTCACCTATCTCAGACAGATGTCTAGGGAATTAACTATAATAACGAATCTAAGAATGCTTTGTAAACTGTAAATAGTTGCAGTCTTCTTGTCAACACAGAACCACAACTTCCTCTAGTTCAACCAACACAATCCATGGAAATTCAAACTAAACTAGGTTATGTCCCAAAATAGAAAGTGAGCAGGTCCTGTCATAGGTATATTTAACATAGATTGTAACATATTATGGAACAACTACAGCTTTCTTCTCTGAGCAATTATTAACAAATATTACTACACACTATTATTACTACACAGTATTATTAAAACACACTAACATGCCAATACATTTACATTCAAATGACAATAATAGTTTTAGGTCACCTGAGTGGCATAGGATACTGTCTCAATGCCTTCATGTCTCAGCAAAGTATGCCTGGCCTTCATCTGTTTCCTTAAGAACTTCTTCTCAGTTTTACTGCGTTTGTAATTACTCTGGTGGTGGCTATCCATGGTAATCCTGGAGAAAACAAACAGACAAACAAAAACCACTACAAAAGTCAACCTTAAAAGTCCTGAAGGGTCAATTATAAGAATGCTATTTATATATTTTATAGTTTATAAATGTTTCTATGTGTAAAAGCCTTTTTAAAGGCTTACTATACTTTTCACCCACCAAGAGAACAAACAGATGCAGGGACAATAAAGAAATATTTAAAAGGTAACAAAAAGGAAAGAACACCTCATAGTGTCTCTGGAAGGTTCTACAGAACACTCCAATGCTTTAGCACTACTAAGTAAGCTATTTTTCCCATACGGGATCCCTTTACGAAGCCCTAGGTAAAATGTGCCACAGACAAATTTCACAACATAATGTTAGGAAAGAAAAAAAAAAGAAGAAATGGACAAAATTCTCAGAAGAATATGGAGTATGATTCAATTATAAAAAGTTCAAAATCCAAAAGTAAGCTGTATTGAGACAGGAGGGAAAGCGGCAGGACACAAACAAACGCTAAACAAACGAAGAAGGGGCACAGCTGTTGGGACGAGGTAAAGACCAGCTGGAACCAGCTGGAACCAAGGTGGCTTTGAGAATAGTCTGGTCATTGACCTTTAGCTCATTATACCTTCACTGTAATATTAAAATCACTGTCCCTTACATTATGACAGTTCCAAGGTGGAACATAAAAGGCCAAAAAGTGAGCAATGGCCCAGTTCCTGGAAAACCCCCACCCTTCCCTAAACAGCAAGAACAGTCCTTCCATTCGTAGCCTATGAAATTATTTAACTCATAAAAACCTACAACCAAACCCCCCATGCCCCAGGGCCGCTCTCACCTTCTGAGCCAGTCCACATTCTGCCCATGGAGTGCGTATCTCTCTCTAAATAACTTGTTTTCCCTTGTCTACTGTTTGCTTTTGTAATTTAAAAGAAATTTTTTTTTAACTGAGGTACAGTCAATTACAATGTGTCAATTTCTGGTATGGCTCGCTTCTGGATTCTTTTCCTGTGGGAAGCCAAGAACCCTCACTTGGTGGTCAATCCTAAGAATTTCTGCAGGTCCCAGGACGTGACATTTCCCTCTCCTGCAACAATATGTTGTTTACAAATACATACACACAGCACAATGCAAAGAGAAGCAAAGAAATGATAAACACACAGATCAGGAGAGAAGTTGTTTCTGGGGGGAGGAGGAACTGTGATATGAAAGGGACA